AAATAAACTAATATTTAGTTTCGTTTTCTACTGAAAAAAACGAAATCTACTGAAAACTACTGAAAAAGAAGAAAAAAAAAAAGAAATGCGACAGGTTTGCAGGTATGTTTCGGTTGTTTAGAGGCACTTTTAATAATCCACCAAATATTTTAGAGTCAAATGAGAGGACATATGTATGAGAGGTTGTACCACAACAAAAATCTGCAGTGAATATGCAACAAAACGTTTGACAAGAAAGAAAGTTATATGAAAAAAATAATAAAAAATTCAATCCCAAACCCCAATGAAGCTAAAATTTTTGTCTAAATCAACAACTGCTCACAAACCGGACTGAACTAATCAACTTAAAAGATCATACAGGAGACAGTCTCTGTAGCCTAGTGCTGCTAAACAAGTTTTTGGTGTAGGTTTTTATTTATTATTTTTTGTACGGAGCTTTTTTATTTTGGCTATTTGTTTTTCATGACATATTTATGTATTTGTGCTAGTCTGAGTTGATCTTTTTTATTGTATTGTATTTTATTGTATTTAAAAGAAGTGCATGTTAAAGTCAATGAGGGCTAAAGTTAGAAACTAACAAACGCATATGATTAGCAGAGTTGGAAATGTCCTGCTGTGGTGCCTGCTTCCAAAGTCCTAAATTAAACTGTGTGTGTGAGCGCGCGTGCACACGTGTGTGCATGTGTGTGTGTGTGTGTGTGTGTGTGTGTGTGTGTGTGTGTGTGTGTGTGTGTGTGTGTGTGTGTGTGTGTGTGTGTGTGTTAACTGCAGCGAGTACTTTGAGTGCTGTGTTATTTCTGAGTGAGAGTCCATTCTCAGATGACCACAGAGAACATGATGCCTCCTGCTCAGTCAAGGACATGCAGAAGCAGAATGCCGAGTTGGAACAAAACTACTGTATGTTAAAGCTTAAAAACTATCTGTAACTGATTTTTATATTTTTAACTAAAAGATCAAGGCTCATAACAAGTGAAATTACAATCAAACATAGACGTTGCTCCGCTTTTTTCTCAACAAGTTTTGTTTTTAAAAAGAGTTCTTCTGTTTCTGTTTCTCCACACCGACACCAAGAAGCTCTGCTGCTAAAGCTTCAGCACCAAAACAAAGCCGTCACATCTGATCCTGAGTCAGTTCAGAGTGTCCAGGTCGTCTAAATGTCAGGGTAAAGGCCTCAGCAGTGACTGAGCATTATCCAACGTGCCAGAGATTTTAACTGGACCACCTGTTCTGCTTCAGTGCTCTGACGCTCAGCTCTCATTCAGGCTGTTCACAACCACAGTCCTGAGCCAACATACACACTTTGTTTTCTTTATAATGCACTTTTTAAAAACAGGCAATAAACATAAACATAATAATAGACATTTCGTGTTTAACTTCGATGAAACACAAAGCTGCAGTGAAATGGAGATTTTACATGGCGAATTTTGATGGCTACGTTTGAACCCTGTGCACCTCCATCTAGTGTTGCAATACCATCATTTTTTAGTTGTAGTTTATGGTCAATGCTGGCTTTAAAGCAGCATACACATTTTTTAAAGACATTAATACATCTATGAAGTGGTAGAGGGACACATAAAATGATGTGGCAAAAGCTGAAAGCTGACCGACTGCAATATAGGTTGCGCGTTTGTAGTTGTAACTATATTCAATCAGTAAAAATAATCTACAATCAATCAATAAATAAATAAACCCTGATGTATAACTAAGAGTGCTGTGTGGAAAAAGGAAATTACAATTTCCCTGAGGGAACATCCCTAAGGGATTAATACGTACGTATCTATCTATCTATCTATCTATCTATCTACTGTACGTATCTGTCTACTGTACGTATCTATGTACTGTACGTATCTATCTACTGTACGTATCTATGTACTGTACATATCTGTCTACTGTACATATCTATGTACTGTACGTATCTATCTACTGTACGTGTCTGTCTACTGTACGTATCTATGTACTGTACGTATCTGTCTACTGTACGTATCTATGTACTGTACATATCTGTCTACTGTACGTATCTATCTACTGTACGTATCTATCTATCTATCTATCTATCTATCTATCTATCTATCTATCTATCGAGCATTTGAGGTAGCATTACTTAGGCATTAGAAAATTAAGATCTTAATAAAAAATAAGACCTGAACACAATGATTGATTTAGCGAATTTTAGACTTTATGGAATAAAATTTTAATTTTAAAATCTTTAGAATTTTTAAGTGCCAGCAGAAACCCTGTGTTAATAAGGGTATAGTCTATTTGTTTCTCAGAAAATTAACTAAACTGAACAACCATATGAATTCCTCAAATTTAAGATAGTCGTCAATAATGACCTCTGAATTTTTAGAAGGTTATTTTATGCAAAGACCTAAAAACCCAAGACAATGCGACTCGACACTTGATTTGAGGCAAAAACCAGGGTACATTACCTCTGATTTCAGATATCTGCCAAGCTTTTGAGCAAAATTAACATTTGTCATATTAGAGTAGTCATTACACACACATTAGAAAGTCAGTGACTGGCCCACAGAAAGCAGTTTATGGAAAAAAATAAAACTGGTCCAAGCATAGACCCCTGAGGCACCCCACAGTTTACAGATGCTAAAAAGGAGGCTCTATCATGAATAGCTACATAACATTTTATGTTAGTGCAGTTAGAACTCTGAAACCAAAAACTTTGTTTACTGCATGCTTCTGTGTTAACCTTGGCCATGCCAATGGAGCTGGCGTTGAGCTCAGTGATGCCCTGGTTGGTTTTATCTCCTCTCTCCCACATCCCATAATCCTGTGGGCAACCAGAAATTAAAAAAAAAAAAAACAGGAGAAATTTATACATAAGTAGATTGAAAAGTCACAACAAAGACTATTTCAACTACCGACAAAGAAGAAGCAAACAGGTCTTACAGCTACTTTATAAGCTGCCTCAATGTAAAACATGAGATTTTGTACTACGTCCACTTCATCTTGGGTGTAGATGATATGTAGACCTGGAATGGACAAGGACACATAGACACAGGCAGCAATGCAAGGGAAAAAACTAGTCATTTATTTCAGAGAGGTTCACTCATACCAGACGCTGTCATCTGAGCGAGGAAGAGCAGGAAGAGAGAGGTGGCGTCGACCTGCAGGTGACCCCACTGGTCGTCTCCGACAACGATGGCACACGTCTTGGTGTTGTACTTGGCGTGGAGCGAGTCTGAGGTACTTCGGCTGTATTTAAACTTTTCCACCTTTTCTAGCTGTGACAGGAGAGAACGATAAAGACAACAGATAGACTGTTGCATCTTCCTTGATGCAACTTTTTCAAAATTCAAAATTTGTTTCCTTCTTCATAGTTCCAAGAATAGCACTGAGGTGACAGTATCAAACAACAGCCAAACAAAGATACTGTATATAAAATGTCTGTTTGAGAGAGAAAGTGAAGCAGTCATCTTACCTGCCTCATTATACACTGAAGGACACCTCTCATCAGCTTCACTACACTCTGCAGAGATATGATGAAACAGACAATATGAGACTCTGGACAATTTGTCTAAAGAGTACAATAAGGTTTGAAATACAGGATGTCATCTACGTAAATAAAAAAGTTCAACAACAACCATAACCTCATGACATACAGACTAGTGCTGGGCGATATGACCCAAATTTTCTATCATGGTATTTTCAACATTTACACCGGTTTGACTGTATTTGATGGTATTTTTCTTTTCATCACAGGTCAGCTGATAATAAAATGTACAAACCCTGCTTATTGACTTTTTTTTTTACTGTACCTCTGTCTGTGTCTCTGTTTCCCTCCTCTATGTTTCTTTTCTCTGACTAGTGGTCGGAGACAGTAGTCACACATTTTGGTCCGGTTGTGAAGGAGGAGGGTTAAGAAATGATTATTATTGGGTCTATTGTTTTATGTTATTTAATAAAGCTTATCAGCACGACTCACCTTGAACACCAGTCAATTCCAATTCCACTACAAACTACTTCCCTCGGGCTTTTCACAATAGAACCACGTTAAGTCTCCATCAGCATAACGTCTCCATATTAACTAATCGTGCGTTAATAACCGTGCACGTCACCAAAGAGGTGTTTATGACATTCACCGATGGTGAAAAGGGGATTTTTTTTTTAAACATCAGTCAATATAAGCAGCGGAATCGCCACCCGCGGCTGCAACTAGCTGCTCCAACAATAACATTAGCATGCTAACGCACATAGCGGTGCTGCAAGGAAAAGCGTCCCCCAGGAAACAGTTCACTGGCGGCCGCGACGAAACGTTCTGCACGTGTTCAGGCTATTTAAACTGGTATGTCGGTATTCAGAAAATTCATATCATTATAAAAATAAAAACCGGTATTCGGTACAAAACAGTATACCGCCCAGCACTAATACAAACACAAACTGACCTGCTCCAGCTCGTAGGCCTTGGCCTTGTCTTCGTCTCGGTCAGCGTTCTTCCTGTAGGCCAGACTGAGGGCCCACACGGACACGATGCTGTAAACATTGTCTCTGACCCAGGCGTCCGGCTGATCCGTGCTGCCCGGCAGAAGACCCGTCACCGGGTCCTGTCAAACACGGAGAGGTCCAAAATTAATCGGATCATAATCTAAAGAAACTGTAATGTGGCAGGTGATAAATATTTAGTAAAAACATTGGCAACAAGACTTTTTCTTGCTCTTATATATATGGATATAAAATAAAAGTTCAATTTTCTATTTGGACAGATTGCAGATTAGTTCAAGTACGGGTCTCTGCAGTCACTAATGGGACGTTTCTTGGATGTGGGCATACTGTGGGTAAACTGTGATTGGTTGGATTGACGTGTAGATGTAGTTTGGGTGGACCAAACAACAAGACCGAGACTCACTTTTTCAGGTGGTCTTGGTCCACTTCGAAACGAACTCTGGTGCGGTTCGCTTCTGGTGTAAAACAAGACCAGCCTCGAACCAAACCACTAAACACTTTTTTGGACTTCAAAAGCCACCGTTGCTAGCCATTCAGCGGCAAACAATGAGCACGCAGAGCATCTCATCTCCCTTGGGTTGCGCCACACATTTGTCTACACCATTCCAAAATTAGAAGTACCCAAAATCATCACAAAACTGCCGTTGAATGAGCTGCTCTTGAAATTCTAAATGGTCAGTTGTATTAACAGCACCATCTTTCTGTGCTCTGTCCTGCCCCCGTCATCTCTGTCCAATGGGAGCAATGATCGTCACCCACATTACTTTGTTTACAAACTATAGCCTGCTTGCAAAACAAACAAACAAACAAACAAACAAACAAACAAACAAACAAAAGCACAATAAGAATGCAAACAGCACCAAATGAAAAAAAATAAGGTCCGCTTTTAGTCTGGACCAAACAAGTGAACTAAAGGACTTTCCACTGAGTTCCCCTTTACTGTCACTTCTTTTTTTTTTTTTTTTACTTTGGCTGAGCCAAATTCCAGCACCACATAAACAAAATAAACATGTTGTCCAAGTAGCTTTTACAAACTTGAATTTATTCTTAAATAAAATAGAAAAGGGAATAACGTCTGGAAAAACTAATGCTTCTCTATACACTGCTTCCTTACTTATCCAGACCTGAAAAATACAAACAAATCTCAAAAAGTTCATGTTTTTCACAACTGTGAGAACTGTGCACAGGTCACAGTGCTGCTTCTCTGTAAAATGTTGCAACAAACTGAGAATTTCGTCTCAAGTTGAACTCACAGAAAAGAATCAACAACTTCTTATTGTGTGTAGCCATTACATCATCGTCGTTATCTCTGTGCGAATTTCACAAAATCTTTGTGGAGCACATTTGTGTACATTTGACCTGCAAAAACCAAGATCTGGTCACGAACCTTAGCCAAAAGTAATCAGTCGGTGTGTTTTTACTTCAACATTTTGTTTCATTCAGTTCTCCAGGAAGTAGTGCGACAAATAAATAGCCGTTACTGTCAGTTCATCTGCAGATTATTTTAAGCCTCCTGAAATGAACCACAAGGCCTCAGTGTGGGTCATTTTGACCCAGGGCTAGCAGAAGTGTCAAGAAAAAACCTTAAAGACCATATTCAAGAAACAGAAACATCTTGTTCTGTACATTACCACAATAAATTTTTAACAAAATCTTTCAGATGCAGTTCAAGTTTAGACTCTCAGCTTTAATTCACTGAGTTGAAAGAAATGAATGTGTAGAAATGCGAGGAACTAAACCATTTATTTTAACACAACCCCTTCATTCCAGGGCCTCGAAAGTGATTTGGACAAATTAAATCATTGTCAATAAAATATTCATTTATAATAATTGGTTGAAAACCCTTTGTTGGCACTGAGTGCCTGAAGTCTTGAACTCATAGACATCACCAGATGATATGTTTCCTCTTTCAGGTCTAGGGATGGAAACTGTTAATATTTTATCGATGCTACTACTCTTATCAATATTGTTTTTTGATATGGTATGTTAACGTTACTCTTATTAATGCTTTTCTGTGGATAAAAAAAACAAAGACAAACTTTTGACTATGCAATGCTTTTATTTTAGAGCAATTTAGAACACACAACATAGACTTTGAAAAGCCACTAAGAAACATTTCTGATGCTTTTCAAAGTGACTGCAGTCTGAACTAACCTTGAGTCTGGCCGTTTAAATCTTGCATCTCTACACGTCTTAAGTTACAGAACAGAATTCTAATTGCTTCGTCTTTTTTCTTTAATTTTCCATGTCCTGGACAACTCAGAATCCACAGAAACACATGATAGCAACATTGGTCTGTAGTGGACCGTATCGATATTAAAGTTACTCGATCAATACTTTGCTTCCATCACATCGCTTCGGTCCAAAAATAAAATGCTGGATCGGAGCATCCGGTCAGAGGCAGGTTCAGATATAAACACTGAACTAAATTCAGCGGGATAAGTATTGAACACATCACCATTTTTCTCAGGGAAAAAGTATTGAACACATGAAGAAAGGGAGGTGTAAAAAGGCATGGAAAGACAAGACACCAGCTGAACTCTCTCAGTAATTAGAAAGCAAGCCTGCCCCTTGTCAGTGCAAGTTAATATCAGCTGGTTCAGTCCCAAATGATGGCCAGGTATCACACAAGAACCATCTGATGATGGGTAAAAGTAAAGAGCTCTCTCAAGACCTTCACAACCTTATTGTTGCAAAGCATAATGATGGCATCGGTTACAGAAGAATGTCTAAACTTCTGAAGGTTCCAGTGAGCACTGTTGGGGCCATAATTCAGAAGTGGAAAGAACATTATTTCACCATAAACCGACCACGACCAGGTGCTCCTCACAAGATTTCTGACAGAGGAGTGAAAAGAATTATCAGAAGAGTTGTCCAAGAGCCAAGGACCACTTGTGGAGAGCTTCAGAAAGACCTGGAATTAGCAGGTACGTTTGTTTCAAAGAAAACAATAAGTAATGCACTGAACCATCATGGCCTGTATGCACGCTCACCACGCAAGACTCCACTGCTGAAGAAACAGCATGTTGAAGCTCCTTTAAAGTTTGCTGCACAACATTTAGACAAGCCTGTGTAACACTGGGAGAATATAGTCTGGTCAGATGAGACCAACATTGAACTGTTTGGATGCCAGAATACACATCATGTTTGGAGGTCAGATGGCACTGCACATCAGCCCAAAAACACCATACCAACAGTGAAGTTTGGAGGTGGGAACATCATGGTGTAGGGCTGTTTTTCAGCATATGGTACTGGCAAACTTCAAATAATTGAAGGAAGGATGAGTGGAAAAATGTACAGAGACATTCTTGATAAAAATCTGCTTCCATCTACCAGGATGATGAAGATGAAACGTGGCTGGACATTTCAGCAAGACAATGAGCCCAAACACAAAGTCAAGGAAACTCTCAGTTGGTTTCAGAGAAAGAAACTAAAGCTGCTGGAACGGCCCAGCCAATCACCTGACCTGAATCCAACAGAAAATCTATGGAAAGAACTAAAGATCAGAGTTCATAGAAGAGGTCCACGAAACCTTCAAGATTTGAAGACTGTTTGTGTGGAAGAATGGGCCAAAATCACACCTGAGCAATGCATGCCACTAGTTTCTCCATACAGGAGGCGTCTTGAAGCTGTCATTGACAACAAAGGCTTTTGTACAAAGTATTAGATAAATTTCAGTAAGTGTGTTCAATACTTTTTCCCTGTGCCATTCCACATTATTACAAATAACTTCATTTCTGGACATTTATGGTTTGATTTCTTTGTATGTATGGATCACTTGGGTTGTTACCAACATCTGGTGAAAATTTCATGTCATTAGCACCTCTAGTAATATATTTACTGAGAAAAATGGTGACGTGTTCAATACTTATTTTACCCGCTGTAAGCATTTAATCACCTCTGATTACACAACTATTTCAGAATCGACATGCTAACATGTAGCATCTGTAGGCTACTTTCTATAAACACCATGCTGAATGTGACATCACGTCTTTTTCTGCAAGACTTTGGACCTTTTAGCTCGCTGTTGTCGCTTCGCCATCATCAGGGTCCTGTGTTAGAAGCCCCTTCCCTTCATGCAGAGTTTTTTTTTTGACTAAATCTAAACGATGCAGCATGTGTTGGTCCGCCATTTTCATACCACTGCTTTGACACTATTAACGATATCGTTAAGGCTGGGACTTGTTGATCTGGTTAAAATTAATCATGTGGCACCGGGGCCGAAAAATACCTGTTTCAGTACCCATCCCTAGCCAGGCCTTTACTGCAGCAGTTTTCAGTTGCTGTTTGTTTGTGTCTGAAGTTTAGTCTTTAACAAGTGAAATGATGCTCAATTGGGTTGAGATCAGGTGATTTACATGGCCATGCAAGAATATTCCACTTCGCTTAATTAAACTCCTGGGTTGCTTTGGTTTTGTTTTGGGTCATTGTCTATCTGTATTTTGCAACAATCACTCTTGACTTTTCAACAATAAAGCAGCTTCTCATCATCTCCTCAGACTCAGAGCCGTTCACTCATTTTCTAGGTGTTCAAAAACTACACAACACCTCTCCATCTCCTTCTGTCATAATTAGAATTCTGTCGAACTCCAGCCTCGTTTCTTCCTCCTTTGCAGAGCTTGTGTTGCTGAACCTGCTGTCTGAAAAGCAGTGTCATTGTGTTACAGCCCACTGAGAAAGCACAGCAGTCAGCTGGTTCACCAGCGAGACAGCTTTAGTTCCCAACGCAGAGAAATGTCACACAAGGTGACGTGTGGCCACGCTGCACAAACAGTGCAAAAATGTCGACGAGTTAGACCTTTTTAAGAGCAACCAAAGTAATTTGTGTTAACAGAGCTGTTCTACATAATTTCCTGTTGATGTGTTTTGATGTCTAATGAAGTGTTCTTGGCTGTGAGATGACTCACTTCTCAGAGGCTACGTTCACACTGAAGGCAAATCCGACCCAAATCCTATTTTTTTGGNGAAGATAAACAACCCCAACCCTAAAATTAATTAATCAAATAAATAAAGCAAAAGAAAAAAATCCCCAGTGATCTCTCTTCCCTATTATCCGTGAATCGCCACATTATCGTAGTGGAGGAGTTTGTGTGCCTGACAAATCCTAGGAGGTATACTATTAGGGGCAATAGCCCTTTTTAGGGTCTCCAAAAACAGATGGTCCAATAGGTGATAGGCCAGACAAAAAGTGATTCTGAATACTCATATGGACAGAATTCAACAGGTCGCTTAATATCCTTTAGCAAGATGTGGCCACTCTGGAGCCAAGTAGAGATGGGAGCAATGGACCTCATGCAAGAACATGTTCGTATTCTTACCCTAAACTTCTCTTACTTTTGTTCGTACAAAGGGTTCGTACGAACATGTCACGTCAGATTCAACAAACACTTCTATCTTCAGGAAACGTGCGTAAATGAGCTGCGTAAAT